CTGTTTTTGAGTTTTCTTATAGATGTATTTATTTCTTTAAAAGTATAAGATAATTAGGTTGTAATTATTTTCCAATGCCTCTCAGTTTGTTATTTATAGTTCTGTTCTTGTTTGCCCTTTGTTTTGCTATCCTTCCTGTCTGGTCTGTCTGGTTTCTATGTGTTCCGTCTCCATAGCTGGCTGTGTTCCCTGTAATGTGTAGTTATACAATTGTAGCCTTATGTTCCTTATGTTTTCTCTCTTCCTTTGCCTTTGTCTCCCCAGTCTGTTCATCTCCAGTCCTAATGTCAAGTTCACGTCTTAGTCTGAATCTAACTGTGTGTCTAGGTCTCACTTCCTGTTTTATTATGATAGTCTCCCATCTCATGTGTGTTATGTTCAGTTTTGTTTTATATATATATATATATATAGTAAATAGTCTCCCATCTCATGTGTGTTATGTTCATGTTCATGTTCATAAGTGACTTTTACTTTTAAAAGTCATGTAATGTTGTATTGGAAAAAAATGTTTTAAAGGGCTAAAAAAAAAGTACTTATCAAGATTCAAGATTTACCTGTTGTCATTTAGCACTACCTCAAAGATGCAATGCAGAACGAAATTACGTTGCAAGCTCACATAAAGATGTATAAAAAACATCAGTACAGTTTAAAAAGAGGGAAGTCTAATAAATTAATGAATATAAAGTCAGTGATACATTTTTTTAAACAATAAAAACCATTCAATTATTGCACAAGAGAAATGTTGACTGCACTTATGTCCCCCAATGACTAATATATTACTTGAAAGTTTGGAGATGATCAGCTTTTTCCCAATGTGTATGACCCTGACCTTTGACCTATGACCTTGAAGCATTACATACTAAAATGGTGTATTTTATTATCTTTATCAGTATTAATGGAGAAGAACTGACTGAAACATATGGTTTCTACAGGCTGTAAAAACTTGAGATTTTAATATAAATTCCTGCAGTATGGGATTTTTCTAAACAAGCATCATTGTGAGGTTGTTGGGTGCTATATTGAAAAAGTAAAAAAAGTGGTGTACAACTCTCTCTATGCCCTTTGATATGATCTATTACTCAATCTGGTTTATTTTATTTTCTTTCAAGATAAACTTTCACCGTGCGCAGTAACAATGAAGACCTCCCCAAAATTAATGAGAAGTCAACAAATTTTCTGTTTCAATTTTTAGCGAGGAAAAATGTTTTTTTATCTGTTATCGTATACTACTTTTATAATATGCACTGATAACAACGTTTAATTTAGACATATTTAAGACAATTACCAACTCAAATTGCTTCCAAAGCTGGTGCTTTGCAACCGGGGAGCTTCTCAACTACCTGTTATGACATAATCTTTTCATTCTGAATATAAGCATTATAAATATTTTTTCTTAAACATGTATTGCTATCAAACAACAGCTAAGATATAAGTCTGTGAGTTTCAATATAAATTCAGACTTATATACCTGTTTGACACAAAGTATGATAAGAAAGGGATAATACTTTACCCAGGATAACGCCATTAAGTCGATATCCCCCATAGCAAACTCCCGCCATGAACTGGGATGCCAGATAAAAGTAGAAGTTAGGAGATAATCCAGTCGTGACAGTAAATATCACCATTACAACAGCTGGGATTTGACATGCTCTTTTTCGACCAAACCTGGAACAGATAAGATCCCTTAAGTCACTTTGGCTCCTCTGGACAAATTAAATATTAAACTAAAAAACAAACAAACAAAGCAAACAAAACAAAAACAAAAAACAAAAAAATCCAAATGTTAACACTACAAGTATTCACTTACGATTCTGCAAAAGGTCCAAATAAGAGACAGCCAACAAGGATGCCAGCCATTAGGACAGTTTGTGCTGTCTCCAACAAACTAGCCCGGTCACAGACTAGATCAAACTGGGGAGAAAAATAACCCATATTACTGACATTCATTCATAAAAGTTCACATTATTTACATTATAAAAGACCAAGACCTACATCAGTGACTATGGTGGCTTCATACAGCATGTTCCCATACACCCATCCACTCTGGCACCTTGTAGTCTCATTGAGCCCGTACTCCCTGATGGCACTGATGTCCCAGTCCACTGGGACGAACATCCGACATCTGCTGAAGGTCCCATCGTCTTCCCGAGGCACGGTCAGGTTAAGCTGCTCCTCTGTGGTCAGGTTAGGAGCAGCACTGAGTATCCAGTCTGTGTTGCAGCATCTGTCTGGATCTGACTGGATAAAAAGTACACTGGCAAAGTGGAAAGGCAGAATAACATTAGGGAAGCTGAGAGCAAAAAGGGTGATCTTCTGAAATAACCCAAACTCCCCGATACTCCGCAGAATCTCCCCGAAATCAGCCATTATCAGGGCACCTTCTTTCACTTTAGAGATGCTGGCCAACGACGACCTTTAAACAGTGCCTATTAATGTTTAAACCCTGGATCGTGTATTTCAGGAAGGATGAGACAGCATTTCACCAGACATTTCATTTTATAGAGAAAACACCTCTCACTGATCGAGATGATAGGTTAACCTGACATGAGCCTTTTGTTCATTTCATTTGATTTAATTAGTTACCTCTGAGTGTGGTCACCAAAAACCAGCAATTACAAGAGCTTTGGCAATGTGGCAAATTTCAATAACAGACCCAATCACGACGCCTTAATTCAGTTTAATTTGCTATTTCCAACAATCCAATTCAATTCCATTCAAATTTATTTATATAGAGCCAATTCACAACAATAGTCGCTTCAAGGTGCTGTATGTTGTAGGGAAAGACCCTGCGAGTTAGAAACATAAGTAACAGTGCAGTATATAACTTACAGTGAGACACCTTGTAGATAGCTTAATAGATCATCTGCTAAGTTTTATAATATTCCTTCTTATAAAATCTGACCCAGTGCTCTTACATAAAAAACAAGCAGATGTATTATGTAAGGTGGAGATGCTGTAAAAGTTATTGTACACTCGATAATAAAATGGTCTTATCATGCCGTGGTCTGCAGAAACATTCAAAAGATCACATTGAGCAATAGAAGTTTCTATATGCTTCCCTTTCTTTTTTTTAAAATGCATTTTTTGTCTTTTCAGTCTCATCTCCATCTCTTTTGACTGTCCTTCCCTTTAATTTGGCGCGATATGGCAGCCTCGCTTCTGTCAGTCTGCCCCAGGGCAGCTGTGGCTACAACCGTAGCTGCCTCCACCAGTGTGTGAATGCGAGAGTGAATGAATAGTGGCATTGTAAAGCGCTTTGGGTGCCTTGAAAAGCGCTATATAAATCCAATCCATTATTAAAAAGTTATGACATGTACAAAAAGGAGGACCTTGCACTGTTGTTGGCAATTAAATGCAAACATATTTAGGGGCACTAATCTAGACAACAGATCACACTTCCTTTAAGATGCTGTTTGAGGAACACACAGATGGATCAGTTCAAATAAATCGAACTTCAGCCATTGTTCCAAACCCTGGGAAGAATCTAGGACACACTTCCTTTATAGAAAGGATAACACTGGCTGTTAGCTAGCCCTTCCACAGGGAAAAAAATGCATCTAACTGCACATTTAAAACACAGAGATAACTGCTGAACATAAAACTCAGCAGACTACATCAGTCCACATGTAAATGTGTAACTTCCATGGTAAATATAGCAGTGACAGCCCATTCAAAGTATTATTGGCTTGTTTACCACCTGATAAGAAGCTGTCAAAGGGCTCCTGGAGGAAACAACTCACATTTCTAAAACTGAAAATATTTTCAGAAAACTCATTAAATGCAGACATTGTTGATGGTTTTTAAAGGAACATTTGTTCTACACTTGCTTTGGGTATCACACTTTTGCATAAAGAAATTAACTGATAAAGAAAAGTAATGTATGATGTTTATTCGTTTCTTCATGAGACCAGTTTCTAGAAACACCTGCAGTCAGGAAACAATTACTCAAAGAATCATTTATGAAACTCTTAAGTGTTCAAATTTTTCTAGTTCCAAGTTAGAAACGACAAAAACACCTAAAAACAAAAACAACAAAAACAAAACAGCATTTTAACGAGTTTGGTTTTTTTTGTTTTCAGTCATACTCCTGTGACAAATATGTAATGATAATAATAATAATAATTATTATTATCATTATTATTATCATTATTATCACTAATGGTCTCTTTATATGATTAAAACATGGGAATCAGAAAAACACACTAAATTCATTGTTTTGTTATTAATTTTTTATATGAATGTGGATCACCTAATAATTACTTTCTACATTTTTTTTTTTAATTTAGCAGTGTTTAATATTTTTGTTTCATTTCTATGTATCGTGTCTAAAGGTTTTGAACTGTGACAAGCTGCTGCATGAAGGAAATGCATCAAAGAGATAATAAAATATGAAAACGATAGAACACCTGCTGAAGGTCCCATCCTCACATCGAGCGGCTCCTCTGTGGTCGGGTTACGACCCGCACTCAGGATCCAGTCTGTGCTGCAGTGACTCTGGATCTGACTGGATAAAATGAAAACTACAATACAAAACTTCATGTAACCAAAAAGAGTAAGCGTTTGAAAGAGACCAGCTTTCACATTTAAAGAATTGAAGAAAACAAAACAAAACAAAAAGCTGGAAAGAAAGAAAATTTCGTTTTACTTGAAAAAAATAAAATAAAATAAAAAATGCTGGGAATGCTCAGAATTAGGTGACGGCACCATTGTACCAATCTTATTTTGCTTTTCCAAGACATGCTCTATAAATTCTCTATAGGCTCTTGTTCATGTGTTTATCTGTTTATTTAATCATTTCTATTAGTGTTGTTTCAGTCACTACATTATATGAAACATATAACATGGCAATGTCTAAGTTGGTGTGTGAAACAGGGGTGTAGGAACTCATCCCCTCCCCCCACTCATTGTTAACAGTTCTATTTTGGTGGGTGTGACTGCATGAAAACCAAGTGCTACTAAAACACAGGACACTTTAAATAAAAGCATCAACACTCATTGAATACCATCATGTAACTTTATTCAACAACTAAAATTAAAAAAAACAAAAAACAATCAGCTTGCATGTGCTGAAATTTACTGACAATGTATCAAACTGGTAAATCACCATTGCTCTCATCACAAATACTCTTCAAACTAAGCATGGGTGGATATACACATTTTATGATTAAGCGTATATATTTTTTTAAAAATATAGGTACTGATCTGTAAAACAAAGTTCATACATACTTGCCAATCAATTGATTAAAAATAATACTAATCACTGAGTGCCCTCATAAGAGGCAGAATGACTTTTTAAAAGTAAACAATAAGGAAGATGTTTAGAAAGTCTTTGATAAGCAACCATTTAATGACCAAATCACACACACACACAGAGGGTAGGGTAACCTGTGCCACTCATCGTCTAGTTAAAATTATCGATCAGCCTGTAACTGGCTTCCGTGAGGAAACACTACATATCATGACATCAAAGCAGAGTGTGACTTCAAGCCCAATGTAATTAAAAGAAATCTGCATGTTAACATATGAACCAACTGAATAATCCACACATGATTAGTGATGCTCCGGCAAAGGCCAACAGTGGAAAACACTACAAAACAAACTGAATTCTGCGTGCTGAACATGATGAGTCTCAATCTGTTTGCCTTTAATCAATATTTACAAGTAATATGTTCCTTTAATCTGACATGTACACTTCAACAGTCAATGCAACGACATCATTACATACAAACCTCATGTTTGTGCAACAGTGCGTGGAGTTGCCATCATATGTACAGTTACAACATGTTAACATACACCATTTACATCAGTCCTTGAACTAAGAGCTGTGTCAGCCCTCTGCACATGGTACAAAACCACCACAGAGCTACACTGGGAGTGATGAGTGACTTGGTGTTCATAAAGCAAAGACACTACAGCACTGAAACAACCTGCCCAGTGACGACAAAAGTGTCCAATGATTTTTAAAAGGTTGCTAGCTTTAAAGAAATTTGTGGGGGAAAAAAATCAAAACAAAAACAAACCAAGATAATGCTGTCATTGATTTATTGTGTTTTGGCAAATGAGTAAGACTCAAAATACGAGTGTAGGGAAGTAGAAAGAATCTGCAAAATAACTGAGCAAAGCTGCAATTATTTACATCACAAGTGTGTATTATTAAAACATTTTTAACATCGTCATTACCAGTATTATGGTGACACCTTTACCGCACATTCTAACATGTTTTTAACAAGTGTATCGACCATGCTCACCTTCTCAGTATGTTTGCGATGAGCGTTCGTGTTAAAACATTAAGTACCAGACAAACTGAAATTTGGACCAGATAGTGAAACAAGAGGAAAAGACTGGGAGCAAAGCGGACAAGGAGTCCTTAATACCTGTGCCAAATTTAGTGACAAAACAAGAATGCCAAGCAGCTGCTTTGTAAACTCTCGTGCCAATCGAGTTGATGCCAAAACATTTGACCAAGAAAATAAAAACTTTGAGGACCACGAGTGTGTACAGAATATATAAGTATATACATGTAGTAAATTTCATGCCAGCCACTGATGAAGCAGCAATGCCATCAATCAGTGCTTGAAAGCAGAATCCCATTCATCTCCACTGTACTGGGGTGGAGGCAAATAAGCCAATAGCTATCTGCATGGCTAGCTGTCTTCCCCTTCTAAGCTTCATATGAGTATGCGCACCTTTACAGAAGTTCATCAGCACTCCAGCATCTGGGAATTGAAAAAGCTGTTAAATCAGCTATTGTGAGATTCGATGACAACTTAAAGGGGAATAAAAAAAAAAAAAGAAGCAGTCATTACCCGTGTTTGTGGATATGAATGTTAAATCTTACAATGGGCTTTTAGCGATGTCAGTTTGGCTGGTTGACTCGTTATGAACTCCTTATGAGGTACAAAAAAAAAGAAAGAAAATGTATCCAACAGAAATGAAATGATTAGTAACCAGTGACCACATACCGTGAAAAGAAAACAGCTATTGCATAGTACAAGAATATCAGGCATTCCCTCAACCTGTGAAAATAATGTGTCTTTAATACCTTGGGATAAATGCCAACTGACCGAGTGTGGCACTGTGAGTGTTGGTGTGGGACAGAGGGGCTACAGTTGATTTAAGCAGTGCAGTTAGAGCTTAAAATCCTTGGTTATGTTTTGACAAAACCACCACAGATGCTGCGGAGAAGAGAACTGATCACACTGCCTCGGGCTGGATCCTTTTTGACATAATAGGTAAAAGTTCATCAAAATTTATGGACTTTCATAAAAAACAAAAAACCTATGCTACGACATATCTGTATCGATATTACAGGGGTTTTCTTAGGCGTACATGTGAAATACACAGAGTACACAAACTACCACCAGTCACACTGGTAAAGTCTAAAGTAACTAAGGCTGAACTTGCTTTTTAATTTCAATGTATCATAAAGTGCCACACAAAGGTGGCACGACACTTCAGAGTTTTGTGGCACAGTTAATTGTTCGCTTTTTTTTTTAATAAAACAATAAAAGGCAATCGTTTCCAGTACTGGCAGGAGACGGCTTGGATTGTGCTTGTGTATGAAGACAAAGAATGGAAACCGAAAGAAAATAGGAACTGATATCTGATTGCATCTCTTCCCCCTCGTATAAGCGCACTGTAAACTTTTCAAGAGTGACTCCTGTGATGAACTGAACCCCCTCAATGTGGTCCTCGTGCATGCTGCAGTAGTGTTACACTCCTACCAGGCTTATGCCTCCTTCTCTTCATCATTTCCTCCTCCTCCTCCTCCCTTTGGCAGAAGTGGTTTTTGGAATTGACTACAATGCAGCTGTGCCATACCATTTATTTCTGTCCTTTGTATCTGCCTCTGGTTGGACTTAACTGATACTGAGCTGCGCAAATCCAATGAGTTTAATATCATCGGGAATTTCAGACTCTTCCACTCCAGACGCCTGGAAAAAGAAAAAGAAAAAAAAAATATCACTAACTGTTGTTACTAAATATTTGAGAAGAAATACTGACCACATACATACAAACTGTGATAATCAATGAATATGCGACATATCTGCACCAGAAAGTCACAGCATTACTTCATAAATAACTCGGTTTGTGTGCTCACCAGTTTAAAGGTCACATTTTTGTTACTGTGTGGATCGTCAACAATCTTTTGCAAATTGGCAGCAACTGTAAAGACAGGAAAGTTAGAAAGCTGTGAGCAGACTGAGGCTACATTCACACTGCAGACCTCAGTGCTCAATTCTCATTTATTGCTCAGCTCAGATTTTCCTTAAGGATGTGGCTAATGTCCTTTACCCACGTGTGCAAAGGAACAGCAAACACATCATACAGATCATTCTGCTGCGTCAAAGGAAACACACGTGGGTCGCCGGAACCAGCTTTCACAATTTAATTTGGATGTGTAATAGAAGCCTATGAAGTTGTGAGAAGATGACAACGATGACGAGCATAAAGACAGACACCCTACAAATGTTAACGGCGTTTGTGATTAATGGAAGTAAATGCTGATTTTATTGAAAAGACCCAAAAGGATGTGAGCAACCGATCTGGAACAATATGAAAAAACTCAACAGATTTGCATCGAGCTGCTGTGATGCACTAAACCTAACCTGAGAACTCAACACTGAGGCTGCAAGAAGCTTTACAATACTGATGAGCATTAAAACGCTTTCGGTTAATTGCAAGATTTGATACCATGTTTAAAGAAAGAATTGAAAGAATTGAATGCAAAACAATCAGAAATATTGACATATTATCTTAGCAATAGCAATAATATCACAACATGCAGGGCTCTCTGTCGTACTCACCGATGACTAAGTCCCTTCCATCAACCAGACCAGCTGAGACCAACTCCTGAGAAACTCCATCAGCAGAGTCTGAGGACACGAGTGAAAAGATAAACCACAAACAAAGAGTTAAGAGACTGGAGTGGAAGAGCATGAGAGAGAAGAAATAGCTTTGGGAATATTTCTACCTCTGCCAGGCATGAACTCAAATCTGATGTCATTGAGCTCCTTCTTGGAATTCCTCAATCTCAGGACGAGACTGATGGGAACGTTGGATGAGGCAGCTGGATCCTATCGAAGGAAAATAGTAAAGGACTTATGTTTGGGAACACGTGTCTTTGTTCTCGAGTTATCGTGAGTTGGGGGAAGTTGGGGGAAACAAAACAACCTATGCTTCTAACAGGGAACTTATTCTTGAGAATTTAAGTGTAATTACTTCATGAACAAGTACTGTTGTGGATGCCTTCCCCACAAATACGCCACCAAAAATTCATTTGTCATTTCCCAAAAGCTCTGTGTGTAACTTTTTAGGTAACTGTTACCTGAACAGCAGGCCCGTGTGAAGGGCTCGCTGTCTGAGCCGGAGCCTGTGGTGCCACTTCTTCTCCTGTTGCACCTGCATCTGCAGATCTCTCATGTGCCACGCCAGGTGGCTGCAGATGTGCACTGGAGCCATCTGCTGGTGGGAAAAGCTACGAAACACCAATTTCAAAATTAATCAGTGGTCAATTTTACATAAATGCAAATCAAATGAGACAAATAAGACAGTCATGCAGATTGCTCTATAAAACCGTTACAATAAATCAAGATTTGCAGGTCATGTCCACTACAAGAGGACTTACCTCCATATTCTGGGGCCCGTCCTTCACTCTTGGAGACTGCAGAATGGACATGACAGATTATCAGGATTAAACACATGCAATTCTCCAAAAATGCCCCATGGACACATGCCATTTAGCATAAATTGTGATATGCCAATTATAATTCCAGCTCCTTTTATTTTTATTAATTTGTCATTTTGGGGGGTAAAAATCAGAATCAGTAATTAGATTAAAAAAAACCCCAACACAAACTACAGTTCTACACAATAATTGCATCTTTACTTGCTGAAAGTTGGAACACTATGGACTAAGAAAACCCCGCTATTCTTAGGTCGAATCAAGTTCTGAAATCTGGAGTTTCTGAGCTCTAATCTCAACATGAATTAAGTAAGCAGAGGAGCTCACTAGCACTGCATTCCTGCTTGGCTAAACATATGCTCAAACTAACAGTAAAGCAGCACCATCTGCTGGCCAAAGGACGCTGTGCACTGAGAAATAGCAGCCGTATAAAATAACCTGGACTATCAGATGGCGCAGGCATGCAGGGCCTTACCCGCAGAGCTGCTACAGCAGCTTTGCCCTCCTCGCTCTCCTCATCCAGCTCGTCATCGCTCCACTCCCAGCCACCATCCTCCGTTTTGTGGAGACGGCCGCTTGAGCCAGGCACACGACGCACCTACACAGCGCAGTGAAGAAAAGCAACAGTGACTCATTCGTCCTCTCTAGGAATTTCCCAGCAATCATTAGGCAGAGCGTTAGGAAAACTGGGACACGCCCTGGACGAGACGGCACACCTTGTCTTGAGAGCAATGCACAGAAATACTGGTGAGCGTGGATTCAGTGCTTGAGTAAATTATGTACCTTTTTAGATCGCTCTGTTATTGTTGGACCCTTATACAGGAGCTTCTCATGTAGGAACTCATTGTTCTGGAACACAAAGGCAACCATTTCTTACAGGATCTATAAATACTCTCTTTGAAACCTACAGCAATATTTTCAGCTTATTTTTATATCAGTGATGCATGGCTCACCTTGGCTTTTGTGAAGAATTTGTGCTTCAGCAACTCTGCAGCAGTTGGCCTAAATAGGAAAGAAACACAAGGCTTTTCATTATATTTGTTCAGCAACACTGGAATCTAATAAGCAGAAAAAATAGCACAAATGGGGTCTGGAAGTTTGCTCAAAAAAAAAAAAAAAGTTTTGGCGAGTAACCTTTTTTCAGGATCTTTCTGTAAACACAGACACAGCATCTTCCTGAACGATTTTCCGTACTTCTTCACCATTTCCTTATCTGTAATACCCGTCTCCAGGCAGGGAGGGTCGTTTTGCAAGGTCAGCATCAACACCTACAGACAGACAGATCAATCTGAGCTGGTGAACAGACTAAAAAGTGAAGATATCCTTACAATGGTGACGTTAAATGCAGTTTACACAGAATCAAACCTCTCCACGCTATAAATGGTCTGAGCTTTGAGCTTTTTACCGTGGAACAAAGAAGCCGTTTGGATCACTTTAAACTCTGCACATATTTACCTTCATCGGTGGGTATTTGTGATATGGTGCTGCCCCAGTGGCCAGTTCAATAGCAGTTATCCCAAAACTCCAGATGTCAGCTTTGAAGTCATAGCCACGGACCTGCAGATTGAAAACAGAGCCGAGTGAACAAAGCGCTCGAGTTGTCCTTTTATATCCAAGCTTGAAGCACTGCAGAGAAACTGGAGAGAGGGAAAGAAAAGGGATAAAGCAAGCGAGGCTTATACCTGCTCCATGACTTCTGGGGCCATCCAGCACGGCGTCCCCACAAACGTCTTCCGAACCTTGTTCCTCGTCATGTCTCCACCTGTTGCTAGAAAGGCACTCACACCAAAGTCTGGTGTTTTGAGTGCATGAAACACAACAAATAGGAGATGATGGAAAACTGCCTCAAGTGCCACAAACCACAGTAAATGCAGACAAAGCAGAAACACTTTACCAGCTATCTGCACAGAGCCATCATCCCCGAGAAGAATATTTCCAGCCTTTAGATCACTGTGCATGAAGCAAAGGAGGATTAAACCACAGACTACAATTAGAAGGCCACAAAGGGTGGCTGTGCTCCGACACAGATGTGGCTCGGCTCCAGAAATGAACAACACTCCGAATATTTTACTATTCCACAGAAACACGATAAAGCTTCACCTTTGATCAGGTTCATTTTAATCCACCTGTTTTCTGTTTGTATGCTTTACACCCAGTGGAAATATGCGCAAACAACTTGAATGGGTCACCCTGAGCCCAGCCTCACCGCTGCCATTATTTTGTCTACTCACAGAAATCATTAATGACTGAATAATCATTCACTCTTAAAATATCAGAAAATCTAATCTCTCATGATTATTATTATTAGATTTATCTAATTAAATACATAATAGATTGCTGGAAATGCTCCTTTGACATTTATTTTTTTTTTGTGAATGGGACTGTTAATTTACAACAAGTACAGTAGTCACACAACCAGGATACAGAGGCCTTTCTTTTCACTGGTGGTCCACAGTGTTCCTGGGAGGAACTTTTATGTAAAACAAACCTCCTCAATTATGCAGCTTCACTGTATTAAATATTGAAGGAGTGAGGTCTAGTTCAAACCGCACACTCATATGCAGAGATGAAAGGCCCAGAGCCTGACTGAGTTGAGATGGCAGTGTACGATGGGACATGTGAGCTACAGAGAGTGCAAACACTGTGTACAGTAATCACAACCTACCGATGAATCTGCCCGTTTTTGTGGAGGTACTCGAGCCCCTCCAAGACTTCTTTCAGAATGGTGGCAATGCAGGCCTCATCCAACACACCGGTCTTATGCTCACCGCGAGAGATGATGTGCTTGATGATGTCCAGCACCGAGCCTGAGAAAGAGCGAGTGAGCGAGCGAGGAAGAGGGAAAGACAGGCAGAGGCTTGTCACAAGACATGCTCGCAGCACATGGAGAGAGTTTCCAAGAAGGCAGTTGGTTAAAAGAACATCAAGTGGAATTCAACCGAGGCTTATACTGTAAACAAACCCCGCAGCTGTGCCCTGTTCCCAAACTAAACAAAATACAACCTGCCAGAACCCCGCAGAGTACAGCAGCAACATGCACAACAACCAGTGGAATAAAGTAGTGGAAAATTTGTTGCCACTTGGTGGAATAGATGTGCAAACATTTACATATGCAAAAGACAACAGTGGCAAAAACTGTAGACAGTAAATCCCTGACAACATAGTGCAATATGAAATTATGAACTTGTACAAAAGAGGGCGTAACCTCGATGGGTAAACCATCAATCAGTCGGTTAAAGCTGGATTTAGACTCCACAGAGAAGCACATATTTTAGCAAAAATATGAACAAAATAAGACCGACAGCCAGTCTGCACACAGACTTACTCACCATTACTATCAACACAGTGTGGTGTAACATTGCTACAATCTCCCTCTCTATGCTAAATGATGGAGCATGTGTTCTGCAGAAAAGATGCAGAACACATTAAGGTTTAAACAGAGAGTGTTAAATCAGTAAAATCAGTAGTGGATATATCACATAAGTGTGTTCTCACAGAAATGATCGTGAAATTAAAGAAGCCCATAAAATAAATCTCAAGAACTGGTTTTGTGGGAAGTTAATCTCAATATTCATTCTAAGTTCAAACTTGAGCTTATTAGGAATACAAGAAGACAGGTTAGCCAAGAGCAGGTCAAATTAGGAACAGGTTTCATCAGTGTAACAACACTTACCACCACTGAGCAGCTTCATCACCAGCCACAGCTCATCCTTCACCACAAAGGAGGTATAATAAGACACAATGTTTGGATGGTGGCACTGGCTCATAGCCTGAATCTCTTTCTGCACACAGAAGAAAAATGTGGGATAAAAGGTCACCCAGGAAACATCAACTGTGGCCTATCAAGCCAAGCACAAACTGAATCTTTATGTTAAACTTAAAAAGACAAACTCGATCTCAGTCACAGGATTTGATCTTTTTGAATATTTAATGAGAGCTGGCTCAAGTGAGATGGAAATGCAACAGCTTAATGTGTGCTCTTCCTCAAAGACAAAATCTCCCCTATTAAAAAAAGCAAAACCTGAAAACTTCAGCTTCAACATTATTACAAAACCACCAAGCAAAGACATTTTTAACCCAGCATTTAGAGATAAGAGGATTCAGGAGCTTGACATTATATAAGAACTGAGTAGGATAATAGTGAAATCAAATCAAATATTTACAGCAGACAGCATACACTGCTATGATGGTCCTTAAGAAGAAATAATCAACTGGGGATAAAAATGAAAAGACTGCGACAAAGCCAAGTAATCTCTGGTGTTTTACTCCAACATCTCATGATTATGGTCTTTAAGTTCAACAAAATAAATGCTCTAAAACACTTTAAAGTGGTTGACAAAGGTCCTAAGATGTATAATGTGTGACAGATCCAGCTGATAAAATGTTGAGAGTCTATTTAAGATCCTGGATGAATTCTTACTTTAAGGTAAGTGATTAATCCAACAAGCAAACCTGTTACATGGCACTAACAGCTTTTACTGGAGTTTGCACTACTGCTATTGATTCAGTAAATATAAATTAATAGCAATAGTGAGGTATTGACTTATGATGTATTGAACTCACTGGATTAAACTAAAGCTAACTTTCACTGATTATTTTTGTCTATTATGCCTCCTCTCAAAGGAATGTTATTATATACATCTTTCCAACTTTTTCTCAGATAACTGCTTAATCAATCTCTCCTGCGGATTGTATGGAAAACATTCTCAGCAAAACACAAACATGAATTTCTGCACCACCTTCCGCTGTAGTTTCTTACCAGAAGCTCATCCATGCTAGTCTGACACTTTTCCAGGTTGATTCGTTTGATGGCCACCTTCTCCTTTCTCGGCTTGCAGTAAGCTGCCTGGACAACTGCAGTGGCTCCACTTCCTGAAGAGACCAATAAAAAAATAGTCCAGCTATCCCACTGTGGAGCGGTCTCTGATACTCAGTCAGCATATGACCGCTGTACTGGGTCTTACAAGTACAGAGTAAAGACATGTTTCTCACACTGGAGACTAGTCTCTCTCTGTACACTGTAGTCCTTGTTGCTCTTTAAAAAAAAAGTAACGGACATAAGAAAGCTACATTCAGTGCACACGTTTTTGGAAACTTTTTATCATTTTCTTAGTTATACTTAATTCTCACTGTAAATATGTTTCTTCATCTTTGTTTTGGGTTTTTTTTTTTTTGCATATATTGATCTTTGTGTTTTTATTCATGTTCTTAACCGGGACCTGAGTGCAAATTTAGTTTCACCTCATGTGAATACATGCCAATAAAAGCCTCGAATAAGCCTTGAATAAAGTCATTAACTGTAAGAAGCAGGATCAAGCCAAATTCAACAGCGTTGTGAAAATTACCCTAACTCTCTAACTCTTCTGATCAAAGTCATGTTCCAGTTATTTGAACTTGTGTAAAGTATGACTGGTTCACTACATGCCATATCACACCTTGGGCAAAAGAGCACCACCCATTCTAACAACGGACGAATCTGGACGTACTTAAAGCTAAACTGCTTTAGCTAGCCGTTTAGCTTCGTGCCGGATAGCAGGAATACAACCTTACTTTATGTCTCCTGCTAGCAGAGACAGTTAATCAGTTTGCCCTTCTACGGGAAAACTTCTGAGCTGTTAGCGTTACTGCAGTGTAGCTATGGGTCGTAATTGTACTTCTGCTAGCTGCAAACATACAATGCTACTTGGCTAATAGCAGCTGACAGCCGACGACAGTGTAAGCCAGGGAAGGCTACAATGCTAACATTAGCAAGCTAAGCTTCTCACCTATCACCTCATTGAGTTCATAGTCATCCTTGTCGATGGACCAGGGCTGAGAGGACTGGTCATCTGCCATGGTCGTGGTCTAAATGGGTTAAACAGCGCTTCTGAATTTAAAAAGAGACGCCTGTTTGATGTTAGCTTTGTGATTACTCCATTCGATGAAGCTTGCTACTGCTCCGCTGACAACTCCTGCTGCCGCTCCTGTCAACACAACTTTACGCGCGACTGACGAATGGCGTGACGTATGAAGAGAGAGGAGGGACAAAGAAGGCGCCATCTTGAGTGAGGCAAGCTATAAAACTTTAAGGACGTTTAGTTAAACAAAGGCAAAGGGTATAGTTTTCTTTAATAGATTTTAAGTGAAAATTGGTTTAGTATGCTTATGGATATTATAGTTCTTTCATTCAATTTTACCCGCACATTCAGAATAGTTTTCAGTTATGGGCGGCAGGGGGTGCTAATGAGGGGAATGTGACTCACTCCCATTGTCGTGATGAAGTCGCGACAAATAGCAGAACGTAGGGTGTGTTTTGTTTCGTTTTTTAGGTTACTTGAGTAATTTATGTTATTTCAGTGAAATGCAGTGCAGTAAAAAGTGTTTTTTTTTTACTTTAAAAAGTTGTATCAAGTTGTTCCACCAAACTGTGCTAATAACTCCTAAAGAACTGACCATGTTTTTTCCTAAAACGCTGAACTGACTCAGCAAAAAGCCATTAAATAAACCCGCCAAAACACAATAACATCACAAATGACTCAAATAAATTTAAGCTGTTACTTGGAGAACGACTTTACATATCTTCTTTAAGTAAATTAAAAAGAATTTAGCATGCCACTGAACCTTGGTGAGAAGATAATCCCATCTCATAATTTATACAAAAGCACCATTCTGTTAATGACAGCAGTTTACTGTATGTGCTGTTTCCATTTCTATAACCTGCTATATTTTGAATTTTCAATAACAGCTCACAGTTAAAGTATTACACAACTGGAGAGGGAAACATGATTTATATAAGCCATGCAAATTCAGATTATTATTGTATTAACTTTTTACGAATGTCTATTTGTGTATTGCCAACCTAGGATTATAATGCCTTTTTTTAACTTCAGTTCACAGAAATCCTAAACAGGGAGGAGACAATGAGTTCCTCTTGCTCATCTCTCTAGCAGTAAATTAATAATAATAGGATTTATTCCATTTTATTGGCTACATCTTTGTTTTTAATTTGACCTGTATCGAACAACACAGTAAGAGCACACTGGGTTGAAGTAAGACGCACATTTTGTAGTCCATTGTCTCGATATTGTAGTCTAAACAAAGCACACATTCAAGTCAAGTTAAGTCAGCTTTATTTGTATAGCACATTTACAGAGGCACAATGTAATCAAATAGAAGAAAATTAAGATAAATGAGGTAAAAAAAAAAACTTTACAAAACATCCATATGTATACACACAAGCAAACTCTTATATACACATGTCTATACAAGTATATATGTATATACAAACACACACACAGGACATGAATACATGCATATACATACACATCATCAAATGAGATAAAAGACCAAAATAACTAAGACCGAATAAACGCGGTTTCAAAGAGATCCAAAGGCCTTTGAAAATAGGTTGGTCTTCAAATTTCATTTGAAGGTTTCCAAAGAAGAAGAGAATTTTATAAATGAGGGAAGACTGTTTGACATTCAGAGTCAGATTTTCTCTTACAGAGGTCTCCTTTCCTAAGTCCTTATTAACTCCCCTTCAAACCTTTCCTTGACCTTGTGATGTTTTCAACCAAGCTCAAGTCAAAGTGATTAAAAAAAAGGATGCAGGCATTTTAGATACTTTATCACAGGTTGGGTTTCAGTGACATTCCACAGTCATGTTTTTGTAAGTGCCACAAGTAAATAATGATGTAGTGAGTGGCCAGGTGGCATTAATTTAAAGTGATTTGCAAAAAGCAGGGTTGTTCAGTTGACATCAATGGGCTATCTTTGTAAACTCCTACATGTTAAATGTTGATTAATTTTGGTCTAAAACCTTCTTGGAATAAAGTTAAAGTAAAATACTTTAAATTAATTACAGTTCTTATGTAGCTGTATAATCTAATGGCCAATACTGAACCCCAAAAATACCATAGACTGTGTTTAAAAGACAACCTGTTTGAGGTATTTAGCAGTTTATAACATCCATATGTTGAAACACTGCAGGGATAATGAGAACCAGGTGTGCTGTGTGCTGTGCTGTGGAACTGTAAACAGATAAAGGTGACTTTTAAACTATGCACTGCAGGTAAAACATTAGACAAACTTCTCTTTCTGTAGTTCTGTCATTCTTTCTTTCATACAAATTGTTTCCTGTCTGGATTCCTGCTGCTGACGATGTCCTCTGGTAACACCAGGCATTGCACGGTCTGTGAGTAAAGCAGCAACCGTACTGCACAGGGGGTGTTTGGGGAAAAGCAAAACTATGGATGGTATCAATGGTATGTGAGGAAACAGCTGGGCCTGTTCCTGCTTGTTTTGCAAGCACAGACACTAAGCAGATACAGTTTGTACCACTGAAAGAAGCCTCATGATATCTGCTTCGTTTGTTTTCGTTGGGTTTTGTTTTTTTGTTGATTTTCATTATCTGGTTAAAGTGATTTTCTTGGAAAGTTTCATTTTGCTTGGTTTCACACTTGGTACTTTATCGCCCACCTTTGATGCAATGACTTAAGTTAAATATTAAAGTAAACGCTAAAGAACTCACTGTCTTGTCTTTTACAGTAATAGCAGTGTGGAGGTCATTAGTAACCATAAATCTGGACCTCTGAAAATCTAGTCACGTTATTTATTTATTTAATTTTTATTTTTAATCTTGTCTCCCCTCCCCACACCGCCTGTTTTCCCGACCCCCGCTCCCTGCGTAGATTTTGGAGGTGTCATCCCCTCCCCTTGTGATGGTGCATGAAAGCTCACTCATCCTAATGCTGACAGTGCGTTGAGTCTAAGCCAGGCCTGAAAGGGAAGTGCTGAGAGCCACAAGAGCCCCAGCACACCAGTGATTGCAGGGCTTTTATCTCTCTAAAGGAAAGCTGTGCATGAACAGAAAAGGGCGAAAACTTTATCTGCCCCATTCAGTGCAACGAATATGCTCAAAGTCACAGTTTAAAAAAAAAAAAAAAGGAAAAGAAAGAAAAGAAAACTAGGCTATGTGCAGTGGCAGTTAGCCAAATTTGCTATTCAGCCTCTTGGTGGAGTTTCAAAAGAGGAACAGGTGTCCATAAAAAAAGAGAAAAAAAAACACTGCAAAGGGCTTTAGCAGAAGTTGATTATATTTCCACGGGTTATCTAAGCTTGCATGCTTCTCAAATGAACGACCCCTCCCTGTTTATTCACATGCAGAATTACCTTTTGGTGAGGAATAGACTCCGAGGCTCAGGGAGTGGTAGCTTAAGTCTTGTGTACATACAACAGAATTAGAAAAGGTATGCGGGATTGTTTCCCCCAATTTTTGGCTGCAGGTGCGCGGAAACCTTTCAGCTAATAACGACGTAAGCTCTGCATGCTGGCTACAAGGTCACGCTAACCAGTCCCATCGATGCAGGATGGCAGAAGCTCGCCTAAGGGTCTAACCTGCTGTGACATCAGCACCGAGGCTTGAATGGCAGGCTCGTCAAACCGGTGCTGAAGCCCGCGGGAGTCACTGACACCGTTCAGACTGCAAGGAGAAACCCACGCGTGTGCCCGCGTTCGCTCGCCTTGTACCCAAACTTGGCAGAAGCCTCCTTATAAAAAAACAAAAACAGGTTTGCGTTCAGTGTATATGGAAGAAAGAAGCGGCAACTTTTCACGAGAAGCTGCATGAAGTGAGTGGAATATCGGGCTGCGTAAAGTGGAGTGAACTCAAGACGGGATGGAAACGAACGGGCTCGAAAATAAACTTAAAGGTAGGATGCATTTCGGATTAAATGTTAAAATATACTGTGCCTTTCTTGGATTTTGCCAACTTCCACTGTTTTCCAAACCCGATAACCCCTAAGGCAAAGATTACATGTCAGCAAAGGGTTTTTTTTATACCTTACATTTAAAATCTAATTTGTATATTTATTTTACTCTTATTGTTATTTGTTTTTTGCCACTTAATCGAGTGAAAAATTCCAAGACAATCAACTGTGTGCATTTAAACACTGAAAAAGGTGTGGCACCTTTCATTCAGCTCGGTTTCACCTTGCTGCAGGCTCAAGGAAATGTTACCAAACTAAGGCGGTGGACGTACTGCTTGTAGAGTCAAATCAGCCTTTCACATCCAACTAAAGAGGCTAGGGACGAGGAAATATTACAGGACAACGGCTTGTTGTCCTGTAATCGCAGACCTGTTTGCTTGTTTTATTTTCTTTTTAAAAATGAGAAGTTTAGTAATGTGGCGTTAAATCACGGCGCTTAGCAGTACCGCCTTGTCACCACTAGATGGAGCCCATACCCATAAGATAACTAATGCAGAAGTCAACACTAGGCAGGCTCCAGTGCAGGTATCAAACTTATGTTTGTAGTAATAATAATGATGATGTTATATTCTTGGACTCTGATATTACAAGCCTCATATTAGTTCAGCTTTAAATAAATAAATAAATAAATAAAAATCTCAGCCTATTTACAGCTTCCTAACAGAAAGCCACTGACCACCTCCGGGAGAAGCAATAATAGCGCTGCAATTTCACAAGAAATATGCATCACATACCCATTTGAGCCTCGGGTGGTTCTGACCAACACCAAACAAAATGTTCCTTTTAATTGTATGGAAGTACTTTAAACCCCCCAACAGCACCATAAAATGAAAGGCAGTCTGTATTATTGAAAAACACCTGTCATTAATGATGTCACTGCAGTTGTCACATTTTACAAAGCCATCACGGTGGCCGGATTGAGGGCCGGAGCCGCATGTTTGACACCACTCCTCTGCTCAAAGTCAAATCTTTTGTAAACTAGCGTATGCGAGGCATTTGACGCTAATTATGCCCTGTGGCTGCTTTTATTTGCTAGCAGGTAACTTACGCTAATTAAAACGTCTGAAGTTAACAGTGAGTATGGGAATGCTGATCAAATCCTGAAAAATGAACACAGGAGCAATATTCAAACAGACGAGTACGGAGTCGCTTCCTTTTCCGCGGCAGTGTTCCTGCACGAGCAAACTGTCAGCTGACTGTAAACTCAAGGGGACGTGACGGAGCTGAGTGAACTTTGAGTGGGAATGGTA